GGTATACATTCAATAAACAAATATATGAAAAAATATTCAACATCTCTAGTAATTAGTTTTTTCCTAGTAATTAGAGAAATAAAAATCAAAACTACTCTAAGATTTTATCTCACTTCAGTCAGAATGGCAGTTACTAAGAATACAAACAACACTAAGCGTTGGCGAGGATTTGGTGGGAAAGGCATACTTACACACTGCTAGTGGGACTGCAAATTGGTGCAACCAACCTGGAAAGCAGTATGGAGATTCCTCAGAAAATTTGGAATAAAATCACCATTTGACCCAGCTATCCCACTCCACCATCTATACTCAAAGGATTTAAAATCAGCATACTATAGTAATGCAGCCACATCAATGTTTATAGTAGCTAAATTCACAATAGTTAACTGTGGAAGCAACCTAGATGCCCTTCAATAGATGAATGGATAAAGAAACTGTAATACACACACACACACACACAACACACGATGGAATATTACTCAGCATTAAAAAAGAATAAAACTATGGCATTTGCAGCTAAATGGATGGAGTTGGAGAATATCATGCTAAGCGAAGTAAACCAATCTCAAAAACTTATCTCTCTGATAAGTGAATGATGATCCATAATGGGAGGTGGGAAAGGAACTTTGGGCAAAGAGGAGGGAGGGGTGAGGAGGGGGCATGGGGGGCAGGAAAGATGGTGAAATGAGATGGACATTATTACCCTAGATACATGTATGATCGCACATGTGGTGTGATGCTATACCGTGTACAACCACAGAAATGAAAAGTTGTGCTATAATTGTGTACAATGAATCAAAATGCATTCTGCTGTCACATATACCTAATTATAATTAATTAATTAATTTAAAAGTAAAAAAAGAAGATACTGAGAAAAAAACGAAAAAAGACTCTGAAACTGACACATATATTTGTGATTAAAACTTTTTAAAATTTTAAACTCAAGGGCTGGGGTTGTGGCTCAGTGGTAGAGTGCTTGCCTAGCATGCATGAGGCACTTGGTTCAATCCTCAGCATCACATAAAAATAAAACAAATATATTGTGTCCACCTAAAACTAAAAATTAATATTAAAAAAAATTAAACTCAATTATAAGGTTTAAAACTCAATAAGTATATTATGAATTAATGTATCTACTGACTTTTATTCAGCTCTTGGTTGCTTTTGTGGGGATTTTGATATTGTTCTTCTGGCTTTTGTAGTACTAGGAATTGAACCAAGGGCCTTGAGCATACTAGGCATGTACTCTACCACTAAGCTACATCCTCAGCCCCTTTTATTTTGAGACAGGGTTTCACTAAGTTGCTGAAGCTGGCCTTGAACTTGCAATCCTCTTGCCTCAGCCTCCCAAATAGCTGGGGTTACGGGCATGCTACTGAGCCCAGCTAGTCTTTTCGTTGGTCTTTTTGTTTGTTTAACAAGGGAAGAGAAAGGATAGCAACTATTTGTATTATTTGAGACAAATACTTTCGTCTCAAGTCTTTCATAATAAAATCTGGAATTGTCATGAGCTGAGTAATGAGACTTTGCTCAATGATGGACTACATATATGATAGTGGTCTCACAAGATTATTTTGTCCAGTGATACCACAGCCATGTTAGTTTGTGTATATATATTCCATGATGCTCACCCAAGCACAAAATTGCCTACTAAGGCATCTTTAAGGACTTATCTGTTGTTAAGTAATGTATGATTGTATGTGATATATGCATCCCCTGTTAATTATGGAAAGACACTAAACACAATTTATCTTTTTAAAACTGACTCAGAATAATCATTTATTATATGAGGTGCATACCAAGATTCAGTATTTGATACAGCACTTCTCTATAAAAATTTTGATAAAGTTTCAATTGATATCTTTGAATATTTGAAGTATCTTTAAAGACAACTTAATAGTATTAGCTAGTAAATAACAAAACAATAATTTCCCATAACTGAAAAATCTCTAGTAACTATAAGATTAAAATTGTATGGAATTAGGGTTGTAGCTCAGTGGTAGAGTGTTTGCCCAGCACGTGTGAAGCACTGGGTTTGATCCTCAGCACCATATAAAAATTAATAAATAAAATAAAAGTATTGTGTCCATTACAACTAAAAAAAATTTGAAAAAAAAATTATGGACAAAGTAAAATAAGAATCAATCACTTCAACAAAAGAAGAACTGAATTCCACATTTAGGAAAGATGCAACTAAAAACCAACTCTCAAGTATTTTCCTTCGAATCTTGATTTAAATGTGGCTTAATAGTTAAGAACTGTGATTCTCTTAAGAGACTAGAGGTAATTAAATTAAAGCTCTCCAAGGTTCACACCGTGAAAAGCATACTAAACCATCCCATCTGCAGAATAGTGGCTCTCCACTGCAGACCTTCTCCATTCAACTTTCAGAGGCGGAGAAACAGCACCAGCAAACATTTTCCCATGGTTTACTGAGTTTCTAACCAATTCACCCAGACTGCCTCCCTGAGAGACAAGAGAGCTGTACAGGCCCAGGTCAGCCCCTCACTGATGCTGGATCTTCCCCTGGAACCCATCCAACCTGGGGCCAAACACATGGCAGAGCTGCACTGCTCCTCACCATACTCAAAGATTTTCTTTTGCTCACACAATATGGACAGTTTATTTCTAATATAGTTCTATAGTCTAATATATGATCCTAATGAATCTTATGTTCTAATATTTAGAACATTCTAATATATTCACAATTCTAATAAATGTCTATATATAGACATTCTAATATATGTCTAGTAAAATAATGTCTTCATAAGTAAAATGCAACAAAAAAATACAAAGGCCTGTTTGGCCAAACAGATCAAATGTCACCTGATAGCAACACTGCACCTACACTAAAGATGACACTGTCGACACTGAGATACTAATCATTTCAGGAGTTTTTCACTGGCAAGGATTCACCTTCCCATAATGTTCTCCAGTACTACTTTCCTCACTGCTCTGCCAAAGTTTCTATCAGAAAAAAATTTCCTGGAAGTTAACTCACAATTCCCACAGGCCAAAGAAAACCAAAGCAACCACAGGCAACAACCAGCAACCTGAGAATTTTAAGGTTGTTATCTACTACAAAAGACTGACTCAATTACCACTGTACTAAACATAAGAAGAACCCAGGTTAAGTCCCACTCAAGCCACATACTAATTATCCTGTGTTTTGGGCACAAAAGCTATTACTATATTTATTGTAAGGTTTAAAGGGTGACAACAACCTCCTAGTTCTTGTACATTTCTATAAAAATCTTACTTCACAAAAATTAGTAGGAGGGCTGAAGATGTAGCTCAGTGGTAAAGCATTTGCCTAATATGTGCAAATCCTTGGGTTCAAATATCCAGTGCTGTAAAAAACAATTTTAAAAAAACACCTAGTTACTAGTTTCTGGTTTGCAATAAATTTTACTATTTGTTCCTCGGTGTTATTTTAAAAAGCTATTATAAAAATCAGAGAATAAGTTGTCTCCAAATAAGGGATATGTTTCAAAGGTTTTGAAAAACAACATTTGTACATTGTTTTATGTTTTTAACTGCTTTCTTTCACACATTTCTTCTTTTGAAATGTATAGCAAACCCTATGAGATAAGCAAAAGAGTATTTACATCTACGTTTTAGTTAAAGAAGCAATGTCAAAGTCATGCAAATAGAAAATCTAATAACAATTCACAATATCCACTCAATAGATGAATGAATATAAAAACTGTGATATATACACATACACTCTGGAGTATTATTCATACATAAAGAAGAATGAAATTATGGTATTTATGGCATTTGCTAGTAAATAGATGGAAATGGAGACCATCATACTAAGTGAAATAAACTAGACTCAGAAAATAAAATAAAATAAATAAATAAAAGAAACTTTAATAATCAAAACTTAAAACACAAGTTTTCTGTATTTCCCACTATCCAACATTGCCTACATGTAAGTTGGAACTTGAGATTTGAAAATTTATCTTTCTAAAATGTAATCTTATACATGGTGATTTGGAATCTAAACTAGCCCACAAAAACATTTAGCTCATAAAGCCAAATCTATCAAAAAGTGGTATAGCACTATATAGTTGAAAATGGTGGAGCTGGGGTTGCTGCTCAGTGGTACAGGACTTGCCTAGCATGTGTGAGGCATTGGGTTCAATTCTCAGTACCACATATAAATAAATGAATAAAATAAAGGTTCATCAACAACTGAAAACATATATATAAATAAATGAATAAAATAAAGGTTCATCAACAACTGAAAACATATATAAAAATAGTTTTTTTTTTAAATCGTGTTTAGCGAACTGACCTGAACCCCTAATATACATGAATAACATTCATCACTTTTTTGGTAAGAAATATACTAAATCCTGTAGAAAAAAAATATCCTGCTTGCATGAAGGACTGGTGGCTCTTCCCTATGTTTACTTGCAGAAGCAGCTGTCCTTTTTAAAGTAAGAATGCAGGCCACATCTCCTTTGTTCTTTGTGGTCCCAATGACCATTGGTCTCCTTATCATTAGAGATATAAGAATGTGGTATCTATAGAATACCATTTTCTCTGTCAATAAGTGCATATTTAATTAAAGGTTTAACTATTTTCAACACTAACCTGGTAAGCTCCATGAGGGCAGGAATAATGCCTGTCTTCTTGTTCACCAATGGGCCCTCCTAATGCATAGCAAAGTGCCTGACCAGTATCAACAGCCAGTAAACATTTTTGTTAGATGAACAAATACTGCTGAAATTGGTAGTGGCTCCAGAAGAATTGAAGGAAGTTATTACAAACCATGAAATGACCTGGTCCATTATTTTCAAAAGTTAATAATAAACTATAGAAAGGCTAAAATGATGTATGTCTTTCTGTGACAGTTTTGACAACACATTAACAAATTAAAAACCCAAATTCAAAAACACAACAAATAATCAAAGTGACATAATTTAATGGAAAAGAAGCTATATTTACTATTCACTGCTTCTAAATACATGTTTATTTAATAAAGTACTTACTTTCATAATCATCTTTAATATCTATAGTAGCAAATGGCATGTTTATCAGAGAATCCACAGTACTGGCTTCAAATTCTTCTGACATTTCCTTTTTTCTTGACACATTTTCACTCTCACTGGAATTTATTCCTCCTTTAACACAACACAAGAAGAAAAATACATTATTTAACTTACTTTTAAAACTCATATCCTAAACCAAACCAACTCAGCTAGATGAATTAAATATAAATTAACATCTGTGTTTTAGTCAACTTTTTCACTACTGTACTAAAAAACTTGACAAGAACAATTTTAGAGGAGGAAGAGTTTATCTGGGGGCTCACAGTTTCAGATAACAGGCTCCATTCCTTGGGGCACAAGGTGATGCAGGACATCATGGCTGAAGAGTGTGTCAGAGGAAGGGGCCCAGGACATCACATCAGAAGCGGAGAGAGCCTCCACTCACCAGATACAATTTTTTTTTTATTGATTGTTCAAAACATTACAAAGCTCATGATATATCATCTTTCATACATTTGACTCAATTGGGTTATGAATTCCCATTTTTACCCCAAATACAAATTGCAGAATCACATCGGTTACACACTCACATTTTTACCTAATGGCGTATTAGTGACTGTTGTATTCTGCTACCTTTCCTATCCCCTACTATCCCCCCTCCCCTCCCCACCCATCATCCCTCTCTACCTCATCTGCTGTTGTTCAATTCTCTCCCTTGTTTCCCCCCCCCTTTCCCCTCACATCCTCTTCTATGTAATTTTGTGTAACATTGAGGGTCTCTTACCATTTCCATATGTTTTCCCTTCTCTCTCCCTTTCTCTCCCCCCACTCGTCTTTGTTTATATGACACAAAGGCACACCCTCAATGCCCACCTCTTCCAGCCATACCCTATCTGCCTTTAATTACCACTCAGTTAATCTCCATCAAGGAACACACTGATTGGGTTAAGGTTCTCAAAATCCAATCATTCATCTCTGAATGTTATTGCATTTTCTCACACATGAGCTTTTGGGAGACACCTAATATCTAAACCATAACAATCTGTTAAGAAAAGTACTATTTGTATTCAAATATATTGTAAAATTATTTACATAAACATTATTTACACCAGATTCTATATTTTTATAAGTGTAATTTTACATTAAACAACAACTTTCTAAATCTTTAATCATTTTGTAAAGCACAGTATTCAACTCAGGGCTAGATGAAGACAGTCAATAATTCTCAAGAGCTTTCATAGTTATACTTCCTTATTTCTTTTTTAAATGTCTTTAATAGTGCATTATAGTTATACGTAATAGTGGGATTCATTTTGACATAATCATACATGCATGGAATATAATTTGCTCCATTTCAGTCTCCAGTGCTTCTACTTTCCTTCCCCTCCTCCCGTCCCCTATTCTTCTATTCTATTCCTCCCCCTTCTTTGACTCTGCTGGTCTTCAATATTTCTAAAGTTACATTTTTTACATATCTTTGATAAACAAGCCAACAATATTTAGTCACTCTTTTCACAATTATTTTTAATAATGTCACTTATGTGTTTGAATTCTTTTTACCTTTCATAAAGATTTTTAAGTTGTTTCTCACCATTATTACACTTAACATTGGAAATCCAGCTAAAAATATGTAGCCCTAAATATGCAGTTTTGGAAACTCAATTGTGAGAAGCACGTGATCTGACAGTTTCCCAAACAGCTCTCCCATGGTCATGCACTAATATTAAAGTCACATTTCACATTTGTTTTTCATTTTCTTGTTAAGGATGGAATATTCACATATTTTAGGTGGAGACTAAGGGGGAAAAGGCATCTGTTTAAATTTATAAAATTGCTAATTTTATCAGTTGGTGGTCTCCCCAGTACCACTATTCTCCACACCTTTATTGACACACAAATGTTATCTATAATAGATTGAACAGAATCCTGGGATATTTCATGTATTTATTAAAGGTTGATTTACCATTTGAAATGTTAAATTTATTTATTTCATTTCTTTCATTCTTTGCAAACTTTTGTTTTCAAATACAATACCTGCAAGACACTTTCCATTAAGGATATGGTTTACAATATGTAACATGATGACTATGGTAACAGATTATAGTTAATGTCTAACAAAATTATAAACTTTTATTGCAATTAAAGTCATTCTCATTGTTCTCTCTCTCTCTCTCTCTCTCTCTCTCTCTCTCTCTCTCTCACACACACACACACACACACACACACACACTCTTACCAACATACCTGTTTGCTGTTTGTTGTTTAAAAAAAGCAACCCAAAAGAACTTTTTAAAAAAGTTCAATGTCATAAAATAGTAGGAGCACTTTTTTTTTTTTTTTGTATTAGGGATGGAACTCAGGAGTACCTTACTACTGAGATACATTCTCACTCCCTTTTTTATTTTTTATTTTTAGACAAGATCTTGCGAAATTGGCGAGGCAATCCTCCTATATCATCCTTTGAGTTGCTGAGATTATAGGCATGCAGTACTATTCCCAGCAGTAGTACATTCTTAAAATGTTATTTATACAGTTCAAATATTAGGAAGTATGAAAGGCTGGCACATTGTTTGACAATCTTTAGTCTACTATAAGTCTTCTCATACACTCACAAATATTTTTAAAATATGAGAACAACTTTGTATTCTAAGCTTGCATTTTAAAAATATAAATTCAGTTTAAACTTAAAAGTTTAAATAGACCAATACATATCTTGAAACTCTGGGCAGAGGCAGCTACACATAAAGGATCATCACTGCCCATGTACCTTCACTTGAAAAGTCTGCAACAAAAAAGTACTTGTAACAGGGCATGGTGGTGCACATCTGCAATCCCAGCTATTCAGGAAGCTGAGGCAGGAGGATCACAAGTTCAAGAGCAGCTTGGGCAACACAGTGAGACTCTATCACAACATAAAAATAAAAAGGGCTATGTATTATAAAGCATCATATGGAGCCAAAGCAACCACAGGGTTCTGCAGCATTCAGTCCCTGTGATCCCACAGGAAGGATTTCAAGAATGTAGCACAAGCTGAAAGTAAGGCACACAGCACAGGACTGGAGTGGACTGTCTCCTGAGAGAGTGAGAGAGCTCCTAAGAGAGCTCTTACAGTCTGGGATTTTAGGGAGATTGGGCCTCTTTCTTCTTGTCTTATTTTCTCACAGCCCCCTTTTGATTAATAAGTGGTTTATTACCATTTTTTAAATTTTGTATATATATAGCTATAAAGGACTGGGGATGTAGCTATGAGTTAGAGCATCCCTGGGTTCAGAACTGCAAAGAAAAATAAATAACATGAAAATAAAAATAAACAATGCTGAATGAAAATCACAACCAAAAGCAGTAAATCCAACTGTTGTTTTCCTTATTTATTCTCAATCTGAACATGTCTAAAGACATGAAATTGGCCCATCTAACACTGGCATTTCAATACTAGTTCCCAAGTCCATCTGCCACTTAGAAATAGACATTCCCTGATTGGGTGGTAGATTTATATTATTTTTCAAAATTCTGCAAAAAGCAATATGCATTCAGTTGAAGCCATACTTCAAATTTTGAATTCTGAACTCTTAGGGGTATAGTGCTCGCTCCTGATGCCAGGCAATGACCATAAGCCTCAGTTCACAGCCAGCCCACAGTCTTGTGAGGAAACAGGAACTCTCTATAGTGCACCTGCTGCCAGGGTTAGGCGTATTAAATACATTTTCCACTTACAATGGTTGCAACACCTGATGGGTTGTTGAGGATAATCCCATCATAAATTCAGGAGCAGCTATATAAGATGCTTGGCAATATGTGAGATAAATAATAAAACTGACTTCTGGGTTTTAATAACATATTTTGAAGGCAAGAAGATTTAATACAATGATAAATTAAATTAAGACTTTTTGAATTAAACATTCTTGAAATAGTTTAATTTTTAGTTTATCTTAAATTTTCAACAGTAAGAAAGCAAGTACCCACTGGATTACTGTCTATATCAAGGAGAGAATCACACGGTGACATTGATGACAACCATTCCATTTGAATGATTCAAGGAAGAACTAGAACTGTAATTTGGTTCAATTTCTAGTACTACCAGAATCACCTACGGATTTTTTTTTTCATATTTATTTTTTAGTTGTAGTTGGACTCTATATCTTTATTTATTTATACGTATTGCTGAGGATCGAACCTAGGGCCTTGCACATGCTAGGTGAGCACTTTACCACTGAGCCACAACCCCAGCCCTCACCTAAGGATTTTTTTAAAAATCATCCCAGACCAATTAAAGCAGAATATCTGCAGATCAGCCCAGCCCAGCAGCTGGCATTTTTTTAAAGTCCCACAACACATCATATATGGACATTTGTCCATTTTCTCTACTAGATTCTAAGCTACAGTGACCATATAATTTATCACTGAAAACAAGGGACTTTGGAAAGTGAAAGGGGGAACTTTCATAAATTCCACCCCATCAGTAAGTGTGGTCCCCTACTGTGAGCTGCCAGGTGCCCTATTTTACTCTCCTTTGATTCCTCCATTCCTGGCAGAGTTTAGCTCATGGTAGGTGCTCTATAAATTTTTACTGAATGTACATGCACACTGCATATACATGTGCATATACAATATATATACACATATATTAAAATTAATGATATAATTATAATTTATATATATATATATTTATATATGTATATGTGTGTGTATGGTATGTATATATATATCAACAACACATTTGGAACTGGTTAATAAAGCACTTGGGCTCCAGTGCAATGCAGTTATCTCAATGCCCATGAAAACTAATTCCTAGTATTTCACAGTAGTCTCAGCACATCACAGCTTCTCTCATTTTCACAGGATGGATGGAGGAAAGGTACTACCATTCCACTGGACATAAAAGCAAAAACTAAGAAAAAGAAGAAAAACCAAGAGAAAAAAAAAGCATAATATGACTTGCTCAACATCTTTCACCATCTTATTAAATAAAGCACATTAAATTCAAATACAATATTGTATCAAAATTAACAGGAGTCAAGGACTTCAAATATAAAACTCTTTTATTGTTAAAGAATTAAAATAATTTTTGTAAATATCACTTATTAACTGAAAAAAATGCCACTTACATGTAAAAGTCTTTAAAAAAAAAAAAAAAAAACTACTGATCACTCTA